AGGAGGAGAAGAAGAAGAAGAAGAAGAAGAAGAAGAAGAAGAAGAAGAAGAAGAAGAAGAAGAAGAAGAAGAAGAAGAAGAAGAAGAAGAAGAAGGATGGAAAAGCTGAACCCACTACACCAGGGATGGGCAAAGAATCCCCTGAGGTATTGCCTGTGTGGGACTTGGTACCACTGGTGGCCTTCTGGCCAGGGAAGGCCTCTGCAGCAGAAGAAAGTAAACACACAGAAACAAGTAGAGACTAAATAGTCCTTGAAATTTTTGCAGGATATTTGATCACACTGTGTACCATGAGATTGTGTTATTTACTTGGGAAAAAAAAAAAAAACCTGTTTCTGTGTGGCTCAGCCCTAACACACAGCTTTATTCCAATATCTTTCTGCTTGAATATTGTAAATTGTGTTAAATCAAGTCAAGTATAGGTTCAGAGGCAAAGCAAGCAACGAATTAGCAGGAAGTGAACATAGGATTATTGAGAAAATCATAGAGAGTAAGAGGAAGTGGGGGGATGGTTAGGGAGAAGCACAGGAAGGAGAAGTGAGGGACACCGAGTATGAGCGGTTTTGGTTTGCAATGGCACAGGAAAAGGGGGATTATGGGACACTAGTGGAATAGGAAAGTCAGCTGGATGATCTCTACCTCTGTGAGCTAGCCAACTGTTGCCCCAACATCTGGCTCCTGAGTCTTTATTGGTAAAATTGAATAATTGAGGGGTTTTTTTGTTTGTTTTTTCTTTATTAAGAAATTTTCTACTCAGTCTACATGCCACCCACAGATCCCATCTCCTCCCTCCTCCAACCACCCCAATTGAGTTTTTTAAAAACAACACGAAATCATTATCTTTCTATAAATTTATTAATGAAAATGGAATAAATTACCAATGTAATTTTAAAAAAAAACAAAATAAATAATTCTGAATGAGCTTCAGCCATCTTAACCACTTCCCTGGATTTATTGCGTTTTCTTTATTCCTGCAGTTAAAGTGCAAAAGAAAGGAAAAAACAAAACTGCAGTGAAAAGAAGAGAGCAAGAAGAACCCAGTAGTTCCCAGTCTCTTTCCACCAATAATAAATCATACGTGAGTAAACCATCTTCAGAGGTAAGGTGGCTGGTCTCCCACCAAAAAGCTTCTCCCCAGGTTCTTCCCCTTCTTAGCTCTTTAGAAAGATTCAGTACTCTATCTATCTAGTCCACGGCTCTAGTGAGAACAGGTTCTAAGTCAACAAATTCATAGGGACCTGTCACTCCTCCAGTGTCAGATATACAATGTCTCTAACTTGTGCAGTATAATCCCCAGGGATGCAAACAAAAAAATCACTACGTGACTTTTTAAACATCATCTACTGAAATAGCAGTTGCTTTGGGATGTGGCTTTTAAAAAGACTAAATTAAATATGGACTTTGTAATTCTACACCTAATACTATTCTGCCACCACAGGGATAAGTAGGATGAGATAAATGTAATTTTTCTACTCCTCTATGAGACAACCCTATATGACTTAGGGTTTCAATTGCTTTGAAGAGATGTCATGAGTACAGCAACTCTTATTTAAAAAACACATTTAATTGGGACTTGCATACATTCAGAGGATGATTAGTCCATTATTGTTATGGTGGGAAGCATGTCAGTATGTAGGCAGACATTGTGCTAGAGAGGTAGCTGAGAATTCTACATCTCCACAGGCAGCTGTAAGAGAGAGTGGCACTGGGCCTGGCTTCAGCATCTGAAACCTCAAGGCCCACTCCTCAGTGACACACTTCCTCCAACAAACCACACCTACTCCAACAAGGACACACCTGCTAATACTGAGACTCTCTGATGACCAAGCATTCAAACCACTGTGTCTTTGGGGATCAATCTCATTCAAACTACCACATCATACGATCTGTCTGTTAAGAATGAGGTGTGCACAATGATGCAAATATAATTAGAATCCAGTAATAAAACAAAGATTCTTATAGTCCTTGAAATATTGTGCTTTACTTAGTACTAAAGACATTACTAAGGGCTGGGGATAAAACCATATGGAAAAGTACAACTTAGCATGTACAAAGCCTGGGTTTCAATTTCCAACACATGGGAAAATCAATAAGGAAAGACAAACATTTTTCTTTTAGAAAAAGAGAAAACAAACCACAAAAACTAAAGGTGGCAAGAAAATGAAGCTTACCCAGAAGCAGACTCAGCTTCTAGAGCCTTCAGGAAGCAACCCACAAAAAGATGAATGTTGTCTCCAGACTCCTCATAAGCCTCCAGCAACACCATCCAGCAGTTCCTCAAACAAGGTACCACTTTCCTATTCCCAATGCTTGCCCTTTCCCAAAGCCTATCTGTGGGCTCACCATAACCTTGAAAAAACATCTCACTGATCCCCTACTACAAAGACTTTCCTCTTATTATTAAATAGCTTAGTAAGTTATGTAATCATGTATCACAGCCTCTGTGGTACATTGAAAAGGTAAGTATTTATGAAATGATTTCTAATGTTGTCAACCAACTTTCTGCTTAGAGTTCAGAAAAGAAAGAGGGGAGACCGACAAGAACTAACACAAGAATGTATCAGTCCCCATTGCCTAGTTTCTTCTCATACCTTTTCCCTTTGCTGGTGACCTAACTTCAGAGGTTATTTTCACCATCCTATGCTCTTCTCAGCATAGAAACATTCTGTTTCTTTGCTTGGAAGTTTTTATCCCTGTCCATTCACTGACCAACTATTGTATAATTGTAATGGTCACTTTTTCTGAGAGTCAGCTTCAGACCCTCCCAGGCATGCATTAAACACTCCCAGCCATTGCTCATCATAGAGAATAGCTTCCTGTTCCCATTTTGATGCATTTTTAATATAAGTACAACCATAACCATATATATATATATATATATATATATATATATATATATATATATATATATATATATATATATATATCATTCATCATGCCTGTATTTTGGGATCCTTACTGCAATGTACACACATCTCCTTATTTTATTGCATGGTACAATTGTGTTGAACACTCCATGTGATCAGCAGTTAATCTTTTTAACAGGCAGAGTCCATTTAGCATGGGAACTCCTTAGGCACATCTAATTAACCATGTTTGTAAATGATTACAGCAATATATTTCAACATGTACACAAGTCTGGAAAACAGGCTACTGTTAGTAATACTTTTGGCTTGAAAGGAGTCAGCTTTATACCCATTGTAGCATTTTAGAAGAATTTTTACCTTTAACAATCAAAAACATAAAACAAAAACAATAAAATGGCCATTACAATTAAACCAAAGTATTTGCATACTAACGCACCTTCAGTTTTCAAGCAAATTTTATAATATTTAAATTTTTATACTTCTAAGATTATAAAAGTGTAATGATGATCCTAACTACATCTGTTGCCTATGTACAAGTATTTCTCACATATGTAGAAATTTTATTTAACTGGATTTATAGTCATTTTAAAGACATAAATACAAGTTTAAATGAGTCTAGATGGGCTTCAGGCATGCTATTCCAGCATGCTGTCAACTGAGATACATTCCCATCCACAAAATCGATCTGTGAGGGTATTTGTCCCACAATTTCAATCACATCACCTGAAAATGTAGAGCGTGGTTTCTCTGTGCATAATAAGGATTGAATATTTGATGAATTGGAGAGTCTACCTAAAGAAAAGTACACGAACAGCCAATTTTACTACAAGCTTCATTTCCCACAAAATAACACTAAAAGCTGAACTAGGCCAAGTAAGATCAGCTTTGTAAGATGCTTTGAGCTAGTATTTAATCCCAGAACAGTGAAAATTCAATTCCTGGCTTTTAAGAGAAGTTGTAATATTGATTAGTAAGAGTGGAAGCTAGGTGTAGGAAATACCTAAATTTGTTCTAACATACTTTCTTCAGGCCATGAAAAAGCTGACAGGGTAAATGTTCTCTTGTGAAAAGATGAATTTGGTCTTATTTTCAAAAACCAATAAGCAGTATTAAAAAATATCTCAATCCTATTTTCCTTTAAAACAGAAAAACACAAACATCAAAAAACATAGTATCATAGGGACACAGGTTTCCCAGAAAAAAAAACACCAGCTTCTAGAATTATCAGCAGCCAGCAACTCCTCAGCTGCCAGTAAGCTCCAGACTCTTGCAGAAGTTTCAGCAGCAGCAGCAGCTTCTAACAGCCTCCAGACTTATCAGAGGCCCCTAGGAACATGCTTCACTTTTTAAAATGTCTTCAGGCTCTCTAGCACCACCTTGCCAGAATTTTCCAATGTCTCCAGCATCACACTCCAGCATCCACCTAAACTCTTGATTGCCTCTAACACTGTCCAGTGGTGTCCAGGCTCCTCATGTACCTTCAGCAACAATATCTGGTAATAACTGGGTCCTTCACATGCCTTCAGAATCAGTGTCCAGCTCTATCATTACTCCTCATATGTCTCCAATATCAGTGTCCAGCAATGCCCAGAACATTGACCTACCTACAGCAGCAGCAGTAGCAAGCAGTCTCCTCACAGTCCTCAAGTAATAACATCCAGAAGACCCCTAATGGGCCTTCAGCAACAGTGAGAAGCGAAGCCCAGTTAAGAACGATGACTCCAGCAATAGCATCCAACAATATTCAGGTCCCCCATGCTCTTCCAGAAGCTGTGTCCAGAAATGACAGCACCATCCGGGTATTTCAAAGAGCAGCATCCAGTGGCATTCAGACTCTTAACTCTGCTACAGTAAAAGCACCCAGGAATGCCAATGTCCCAGGTCCCTTAGGAACAGGACATGTTTATGTCCTGGCTTCTTTGGCCTCTCCAACAACAGCATCTAGTAGTCTCCAGACTTCTCAGGTACTTCCACCAACAATATCCAACAGTCTTCCAGCTCCTCAGGTTTCCATACCAATAGGAACAAGCGAAGTCCAGACCACTCAAACACATCCAGGAGCAACATCCAAAGTAACCCAGGCTCTTCATGTTTCTCCACAGGCAGAGTCCAGAAGTGAGTGCACCACTCAAGGGCCTCAAGGAGTAGCATCCAGCACTGGACAGGCACTTCCCTGTCCTAGAGTAAAAGCATCAAGGAGGGTCCATGCTCCTCAGATGCCTTCAGCAACAGCATCAGAAAGTCCCCTGGCTCCACGTGGATCTCCACCAACAGTGTCCAGCTGTCTCCTGGCTCCATCAGTGTCCCCAGCAATGGCACCCAGTGCTCTCCAGGCTCCTCTGGTGCCTCCACCAACAGCAAGCAGCAGTACTTCACGGGTAATGCTTCCTGTTCTCACAATATAATGACAGCACAAACTTGGAAGGTTTCTTCATTAATCTATTTGCACACATAATCTTTTATTCAAATAATCACTCATTTTATTGTGTTTACTTACTGATCCTTCTGTACATTCATCTTTAAAATGCTTTATATGCTCTATCCCATTAAGAAAATGCCCGACTCAGTGATCACCTGATCATGCCTATTCTGTAAGGAGTATAGTGAGACACTTGCTTATTTAATTTTACACTTTGAACCTTTTGTCAAGATATTCTTTTCATATTGTGTATTGCTGCTCCAGTTATAATGAAAATGTACTTTCTGGTGTTAGAATACATTGATCAGGAATCAGAGTTAAACCCTATCACCACAGGGTAAAGTGTGTATTTTTTCAAATAAAATATCAGAGAGTGCTACCAGTTATAGCTGCCTCCCTGAGCTGATACCCAGATTGGCCATGACTGTCAATATGCTTCTTCTTTCAGCCCTGCAGTGTTGCCTCCATTTCATAGTGCTCTCCTGATGCTCAGAAATGGAGTAGGATACTGAGGAAGCAGGTTATCCAAGTAAAATGACTTCAGACTCTTTCTGATGCCAGCATTCTCCTCCATGCCAGCTATTATGGAAAAAGAAGAGCTGCTAGCTGGAACCCTTTTTGTTTAACCATATTGAGGGCATCTTCTTGGGGCTGCCTACCTAGCCCCTTTACAAGAAAGCTCTGACTGTTTAGACAAGGTTTTGTAATTGGAATCTTCAAAATATTCCTACATACAAGACTTGACTAGAACGTGGAGGCCTTGGGTTCATTCCCCATAACTACAAGTATTATCCATTTATCCAACAGGTATGATTAGTATTAAGTAGAATCACTAAGTTGTGAATTAGGTAAATCTCTATTTCTTCCTTTATCTAGGTTATAGTCTTTGTTTAGATGTTCTCCACTCTACTCAGTGGAGTTGTGACTTATGATCTGTCTGAACTATGCATGTTTATCCTCTGTATGTTTTATGTAGACACCAAATAATGGAAACTTACCAAAGGAGCCTTCTAAGGTAGAAGGTCACCATCGAGATCCCATACAAGTGATGGTGTTGAAAGTAACAGAACCTTTTACTTATGATTTGATTGATGGCAAAAGGATGTTCCATGCCACAGTGGCTACTGAGACTGAATTCTTCAGAGTGAAGGTTTTTGACACAGCCCTAAAGAACAAGTTCATCCCACAAAAGATCATTGCCATATCAGATTATTTTGGCACCAGTGGATTCCTGGAGATATATGGAGCCTCCTGTGTGTCTGATGTGAATGTTAACCAAACGATGGTTATCTCAAATACACTGAGGAGAAGAGCCAATGGAACTCCTAAAATTAAGGATCTTTTCTCTCAAACAAAAGGGACATATGTGAATGGAGAGTTTGTGGTAACTAAGGTAAGCCATTACATTATTTAATAATGCATTATTAAATGCCTTTGCACTCTGAGATTTTAAGTTTTAACTTGGCACCAGAATTTACTCAACTTACTTAACAAAGGAAATAATCATCATTCATATCAGAAAGAGATGAGTAAGGTTTCCACATTTTGGAGATTGAGATAGTCTCTTACAATTCCTCTCCTCAAGGTACCAACATGAGAATTCTTTACAAGCAGATACATCAATAACCTTTGGCATTTCCCTTGCTGACAATCCATCTATAAACATCCTTTTCCCAGACACTGTTCAGTTTATAGCACACTTTCCTTTTAGATTTTATTTCTTTCATAGTTTCCTAACCCATCTCATTGGCAACTCAGTTGTGAATGAAGAGTCAAACTCGTAGTCTAGATACAGTTTGCAATGATGAGAATAAAAAACCAAATAGACAATTCTGCCCTAGAATGAAGCCATGTCCAACAAACCAGGATTATTTTTAATGTGTTCTCATTATCACATTTTTTAATTTTTATCAAAATCTTTTGACTGAGCGAATAATATTTTAAATAATGAAAGAAACAGGAGTTTAGCAAACTAGTTTAATTTCACAATTTATAACTAGGTACAATGAAAGTGAGGAAATTTAAGGAATTCTATGACTTTTGAATGTTTCTTTAAGTGCCGATGTACTAATTCATTAGTATGCTTGCTTGTTCAATGTATGATTTCATAATTCATTGCGTATGAATCAGGCATGGCTTTTTCCTTTTATCTATGCTGTTGTTCACTGTGCTGCTACATTTGGTCACACAATTAAAAGTAAACTAAGTGAGACACAGAGTAAAACACCAGAAATATTGCTGTAGATTTAACCTTTGAGAGATTAGGAAAGAGTACACGGAATCGATGTGTGCACTGAGCAAATGTGATCCACTTAAACAGGAGGTGTGTGTGTGTGTGTGTGTGTGTGAGAGAGAGAGAGAGAGAGAGAGAGAGAGAGAGAGAGAGAGAGAGAGACTGTCTTATGTGACTCTGTATTTGTTTCTCATGTTATTTCTTCTTTATACCTGCTACTTTGTACATTTTGTTTTATTCTTGTTGATTTGTCTTCTTTATTTGACTGTTTTCTTAAAAGAGAGAGAAAGAAGTGATGGAGTTGGAAAGGAGGGGAGGAGAGGATTTTGTAGGAGAAAGTAGGGGAAAGGAAACTGTGATTAGAGTATTATGTATGAAAATAACTTTATTTTCAATAAAAAGTAAAATAAATTAAATAAAAAGGACTTAAAACAGTGTTTCTCAGACTCACAATGAGCCACAAGTAGCCTTTTCTTCTCAGCCTCCTGGATGTAACTAAGAACCCTGAAATGGTAACTAAATGGGGTTTGCTGTGTATTTATGTTTTTTTCATTTTTGATCCCTTACTTTGGAACCTTAAGAAATCTCAGCTATTCTGATATGTTCCCACTAGTACTTAGGAAGATACTCATTTTGTTCTAAAGACACCCAGCAGATAAAGACCTCAAGTAGATAAAACTTAAGAGAGGCTTCCAAGGGCTGCAATTATAGCTCAGTCATTAAGGGCTAGGCACACAAAACCTCCAGAGTGATTTCAAGAAAAAATTTGTTCACCATAACATGTTAAACTCTTCCATTCAAGAAATTTTTTTTTGTCAGTTATTCCTTTATTTTGTCTGTGAGGGTTGAGAGAAACATAAAGGCCATGAAAGTAGTGTGGAAGTCAGAAGAGAAGCTCCACAAATGAGTTCTCTCTTTCCACTGTAAGTCCTGGGAACTGAGTGGTAATCAGGCTTGCCAACAAGCACCCTTACCCACTGAATCATCTCACTGGCCTTTTACCTGTGATTCTAAACTTAAGAGCCATACTTGCCTTTGTCAGGGACAGGTTTAAGCTAACACTCTTTATTTCTCATAGAAGTGATAAGCTTTCACATATTTCTTAAAACATGAATGTTAACTTGTTTTTCAGAAAAATGAAAGGGGTGACTTCATTCACTATGGGATTGAAGATGATACTGGGAAAATGGAAGTGGTGGTCTATGGACGACTGACCAGTATCAACTGTGAGCCAGGCAATAAACTTCGACTTGTCTGCTTTGAATTGACCTCAAGAGAAGATACATGGCAGCTGAAGTCTGTAAGGCACAGTTACATGCAGGTGTGTGCTTTGGGAAATACAATTCTTCCTAAGAATCATATATTTCAATTTCCTGAAGCCCAGGGTGGCCTTGAACTCCTGATCTTCCTGCTTCTTCCTCCCAAATGCTAGGAATAAAGGTGTGTGCCACCATAGCCTGGCCTCTGTGGTTAACTGGTGACTAGTTCCACCTTCTGATCTCCAGGCAAGCTTTATTTGTCAGAACACAAACAAAATATCACAAAACATTGACTTGAAATTGACCAAAGACTACACGCAAAGAACCTTGGGGTCTTCATCTGTAACTTTCAAATACTGTCTGTTGCAGAGGATGATGAACAGAAACGATAAGTTCCCAAGGATGCCCTGAGCAAATCAGACCACAATATGCTAAAATCCACAATCCTTGTCATGCTTACACACTGTGTGGGATTCGTATTACACTTAAACAGCCACTATTACAATGTAAACAGTCCGTAGGAATGTAGAGAGAAGTGTGAACCATCTGCATTTCAACTGCTCTGACTTCATCTTTTCTTCTTTAAGGTTATCAACGCCAGAAGGAGAGGCACTCAACCCTGATTCAGTTATGAAAACCTCTGTAGAACTATACTTCTGACAATCTCGATGCCAAGGATACTGTTTACGGAGAAAAGAAACAAGTCCAGAGAGTGAATGTATATATGACCTGTTGAAATACCATACCTATGAAAGCCATCTGTTTGTTTGTTTGTTTGTTTGTTTGTTTTTTCAAGAGGGGATTTCTCTGTTTAGTCCTTGCTGTCCTGGAAATCACTTTGTAAACCAAGCTGTCCTGGAACTCAAGGATCTGCCTGCCCCTGACTTCCATGTGCTGGGATGAAAGGCATGTGCCACCACTGCCCTGCCTGCTATTATATCTAGGAAATGGTGCTTTCTCATATTCTTTATACATTTTTGTATTATCTAAATTCCATATTTTGTATCTAAACTTTTATAATTCTTAATCTATCAGTTTTATAAATATATATAACATTTAAAAAAATCCAGTTTTTGATAAAGCAGTGATTCCTTGGGAATATCTTTAAACCATTTGAAGTTGCTCTAAAATAAAATATTAGTGATCTGCAGATAAAACTGTGGAATACAGGCTTCAAGTGTGATGTTTAAGGACAAAGCTTGTTCAAGGTCAAATAGACTGTGTCCTGCCCAGAAAAACCGAACATTAATAATACACAGGAGAAGGCTGAATTTAGCCTTAAGTGCAGGTTCCAAAACTAGTGTGTTGAGGACCTGGCAAGTCCTCAGGTGCTTTTCACTGAGTAATTGTGACTGTATTATAGAGTTTTATTATTTGAGCAAAGAATTAAAAAAATTATGGGTGCTAAGAGTGAGGAATTTGGAGACAGAGCCTGACAGTGCCCAACTGGATTGAGGTGAGTCTTTGTCTAGGTGGGGCCCAGGGGCACAACCCTGCACCACCACACCACCACCCATTGTAGTCCCAGGCTTAAGCCAATAGGCAGGCCTCCTGCAGAGTGGTGAGACTACCACAATCCCCCACCAAACCTTGTAACCCAAAAGCCTCACCTCCCCCAAATCCCACTCACCCTCTGAGACTGCAACTGTTCCCTGAGACAGAGCCTGCCAGTGCCTGATTGGACTAAGAAGTGAGTCTTTATCCTCCTACCCCAACACACTAGCCCCTAGGCTTTGGGCCCAGGGGCACAATCTTGCACTCCTACAGTACCACCCATTGCAATCCCAGTTTCAGGCCAGTTGGCAGGCAGACATCCTGCAGACAAGTCACACTACCACCATCCCACACCAGATCCTATAAACCATAAGCCCAACCCCTCCTAACCCACCCACCTGCTGAGACTGCCCTACTCCCTGAGACAGAGCTCACAAGTGCCAAGTGGACTAAGAGTTGCTCCCTGAGACAAAGAGTCAATCAGCACCTATTAGACCAAGAGATCCCACTAACCAAGACTATCCATCAGACCAAGAGAGGCTCCCTCAGACACAGACACTGCTTGCACCAAGTGGTGAAAGAGATGGGTAGACACCAGTGCAAAATACAGTCAACAACATAAAAACCAATATGGCCCAATCAAAACCTACATCAGCAAGACCTGAACATCCCAACACAGAAGAAACAGAAGAACTCCACTTAAAAAATGACCTTAAGAAGATGATAGAGAACTTTAAGGAGGAAATGAAAAATTACCTTAAAGAAATAAGAAAAGAGGAAAAGTCAAACAAAAATTGGTAAAAATAAATAAATAAATAAATCAGTAAATCCCTTAAAGAAAGCCAAGAGAAAGCAATTAAACAAGTGAAGGAAACAGTTCAAGATTTGAAAACTGAAATCGAGACAATAAAGAAGATACAAACAGAAGGAATGCTGGAAGTGGAAAATCTGAGTAAATGAACAGGAACTGCAGATGCAAGCATAACCAACAGAATGCAAGAAATGGAAGACCAGATCTCTGGTGTTGAAGATACAATAGAGGAAATAGATTCATCAGTCAAAGAAAACACTAAATCCAACAAGTTATGACCCAAAATGTCCAGGAAATTTGGGACAACATGAAAAGACCAAACCTAAGAATAATGGGGATAGAAGAAAGAGAGAATACCAACTCAAAGGCACAGAAAATATATTCAACAAAATCATAGAAGAAAATATTTTCAACCTAAAGAAGGAAATGCCTACAAGGATGCAAGAAGGTTACAGAACACCAAATAAAGTGGATCCAAAGAATAAGTCCCCTCACCACATAATAATCAAGCCACTAAATATACAGAATAAAGAAAAATATTAAGAGCTGCAAAGGAAAAAGGCCAAGTAACATATAAAGGCAGACCCATAAGAATAACACCTGATTTCTCAATGGAGACTCTAAAAGCCAGAAGGTCCTGGACAGATGTTAAGCAGACACTAAGAGATCATGGATGCCAACCCACTATTATGTCCAGCAAAACTATCATTCAACATAGACAGAGTAAACAAAATATTCCATGATAAAACCAGATTTAAACAATATCTTTCCACAAATCTAGCCCTACAGAAAGCACTAGAGGGAAAATTCCAACCTAAGGAAGTTAGATACACCCATGAAAACACAGGCAATAGATAGTCCCACACCAACAAATACCAAAGAAGAGAAACATACAATACTACCACCAAAAAAAAAAATAACAGGAACTAACAATCACCGGTCATTAATATCCATTAATATCAATGGTCTCAACTCACCTATAAAAAAACACAGGCTAACAGAATGGATATGAAAACAAGATCCATCCTGCTGCATACAAGAAACACAGCTCAAGTTCAAAGACAGACACTACCTCAGAATAAAAAACCTGGGAAAAGACTTTCCAATAAAATAGAATAAAGAAGCAAGCTGGTGTAGCTATCCTAATATTTAATAAAATAGACTCCAAACTAAAATTAATCAAAAGAGATTGGGAAGGACATTTCATATTTATCACAGGGAAAAATCTGACAAGATGAAGTCTCAATTCTGAATATTTATGCCCCAAATACAAGGGCACCCACATTTGTAAAAGAAACATTACTAAAGCTTAAATTGCACATCAAACCACATGTACTAGTAGTGGACAGCTTCAACACCCCACTCTCACCAATGGACAGGTCTGCCAGACAGAAACTTAATAGAGAAATAAGGGACCTAACAGACATTATGACACAAAAGGACTTATTATATATCTACAGAACATTCCACCCTAATACATGAGAATATACCTTCTTCTCAGCACCCCATGGAACCTTCTCTAAAATCGACCACATGCTTGGTTACAAAGCAAATCTCAAGAGATACAAAAAAAAATTGAAATAACCTCCTATATCTTATTGGACCACTATGGTTTAAAGTTAGATTTCAACAACAAAAATTACAGAAACCCTACAATCTCATGGAAACTGAATAATGCCCAATTGTATCACCAATGGGTCAAGGAAGAAATGAAGTGCCGGGCGGTGGTGGCACATGCCTTTAATCCCAGCACTCAGGAAGCAGAGGCAGGCAGATCTTTGTGAGTTTGAGGCCAACCTGGTCTCCAAAGCAAGTTCCAGGAAAGGCACAAAGCCACACAGAGAAACACTGTCTCGAAAAAGCCAAAAAAAAAAAAAAAAGAAATGAAAAAAATTAAAGATTTCCTGGAATTCAATGAAAATGAATGTACAACATACCCAAATTTATGGGACACTATGAAAGCAGTACTAAGAGGAAAATTCATAGCACTAAATGCCCACATAAAGAAAATAGAGAAATCTCATACTAGCGACTTAACAGCACACGTGAAGCTCTACACCTAAAGAAGCAAACTCACCCAGGAGAAACAGATGCCAGGAAATAATCAAATTGAGGGCTGAAATCAGTAAACAGAAACAAAGAGAACAATACAAAGAATCAATGAAACAAAGAGTTGGTTCTTTGAGAAAATCAACAAGATAGACAAGTCCTTATCCAAATTAGCCAAAAAGCAGAGAGAGAACATACAAATTAACAAAATCAGAAATGAAAAGGGAGAGATAAAAACAGACAGTGAGGATATCAAGAGAATCATCAGGTCATACTTCAAAAACCTGTACTCCACAAGATTGGAAAATTTGAAAGAAATGGACAATTTTCTGGATAGGTACCACATACCAAAGTTAAATTAAGACCAGATAAACTATTTAAATAGACCAGTAACCCCTAAGGAAATAGAATCAGTCATTAAAAGTCTCCCAAGCAAAAAAAGCCCAGGACCAGATGGTTTCAGCACAGAATTCTATCAGATTTTCAAAGAAGAGCTAATACCAATACTCTTTAAATTGTTCCACACAATAGAAACAGAAGGAACAATAACAAACTCTTTTTATGAGGCTATAGTTACCCTGATACCCAAACCACACAAAGATGCAATAAAGAAAGAGAACTACAGAACAATCTCCCTCATGAATATTGATGCAGAAATACTCAATAAAATACTGGCTAACCAAATCCAAGAACACATCAAAAAAAATTATACACGATGATCAAGTAGGCTTCAACCCAGGGATGCAAGGATGGTTCAACATATGAAAATCTGTCAATGTAATACACCATATAAATAAACTGAGAGAAAACATCCACATGATCATCTCATTAGGTGCTGAAAAAGCCTTTGATAAAATCCAACATCCCTTTATGATAAAGGTTCTAGAGAGATGAGGAAGACAAGGAATATACCTAAACACAATAAAGGCAATTTACAGCAAGCCAACAGCCAACATCAAATTAAATGGAGACAAACTCAAAGCGATTCCACTAAAATCAGGAACAAAACAAGGCTGTCCACTCTCCCCACACTTATTCAACATAGTACTTGGAGTTCTAGCTATAGCAATAAGACAACAAAAGGAGATCAAAGGGATACAAATTGGAAAGAAAGAAGTCAAACTTTTCCTATTTGCATACGATATGATAGTATACCTAAGTAACCCCAAAAATTCTACCAGGGAACACCTACAGCTAATAAGCTCCTTCAGTAAGATGGCAGGACACAAGATTAACTAAAAAAATACTGTATACAAATGATAAATGGGCTGAGAAAGAAATCAGAGAAACATCACCCTTTACAATAGCCACAAATAATATAAAATACCTTGTGATAATTCTAACTAAGCAAGTGAAACAACTGTATGCTAAGACTTTTAAGTCTCTGAAGAAAGAAATCAAAGAAGATAGCACAAAATGGAAAGATCTCCCATGCTCATGGATAGGTAGAATTAACATGGCAATTCTAACCAAAAGCAATCTACAGATTCAATGCAGTCTCCATCAAAATCCCAACACAATTCTTCACAGACCTGGAAAGAACAATACTCAACTTCATATGGGAAAACAAAAAACTCAGGATAGCTAAAAGAATCCTGTACAATAAAGCAACCTCTGGAGGCATCAAAATTTCTGACTTCAAGCTCTACTATAGAGCTACAGTAATAAAAACAGACTGGTACTGGCATAAAAACCAACATGTGGACCAATAGAATTGAATTGAAGACCCTGATATTAATCCACACACCTATGAACATATAATTTTTGATAAAAAAGCCAAAACTGTACAATGGAAAAAAGAACGCATCTTCAACAAATGG